ATATATATAATGATCTCCACTTTCAAAGTTTGCTTGCTTAAATGACAGTTTTTAAATGGGAGAGCAGGTGGTAGGGAGACGGCATTAAGATGGGGGAGGGGGAGGGGCGCTAGAGAATGAGGCGTGGCAGTTGGTTCCCAGTTGATTGTTCCAAGGATGACTCCAGGTTATTAACCAGTGAGGTAGAGCCAGCACAGGTAGGGGAACTGCTAGAGATGTTGGCAGGAGGCGGTGGGCTTAGTAAGGGTGTCCCAGTCTGAAGCAGTATGGCTCCACTGGAATGCTGTGCGGCACTGACGGCTGGGAAGATGGGAGGGTGGTGGTGGGAGTCATGTATGTTACACTAAGGACTTTACATGAGGATTTTGAAAGCCACAAGGGCTAAACTTTGAGTGCTTTAAATACCTCAGTGGTCTGCGGTGTAAACTGGAAGGTGCCAGCAGAGAGATAAGGGCTGCCTTTCCCTGGAGGTCTACCTTGTCTTGGGATGCTGAGGATTCTAGTAGCTAGAAGAGGCAGAATGGGGAGAAAGAACACTGCCTAGCTGGAGTCAGGAAAAACCACAGTATGCACACGGGTTCGCGAGCAGCTGGCCGCAGGAGAACCTGGTCGCTCCATGCAATGAATTGGGTAAGGAAAAGACATCTGACTGGAGGAGGAACTGAGGTTTAACAGGAGCACGAGGTCGGGGAGGAACCTGCAAGTAACTATGTATATTGTAATTATGCCAAGTTGAACAGCCAGGTCTGTATTTGCCACCAGTGCTTTTTGTGGGATTTAAAATTTTTAAATATTTTAAAAAATATTTGCAGTTTTAATATAGGAAACTGGGAACTATGAAAAAGGAAAAATCTTTTCCATTTTACCTTCTAGTAAGCCAATTAAATTTTGTTGTTGCATGACAGTCAAAGTAACACCTTAAACAGGAGCCCTGCTCTTAAAAAGTACCTGGACAAAGGGTACTTTTGTTGGTAAGTAGGCCTGGCAGCAAGTCGCCAGGTGGGTGCTAGTTGAGTCAGTACCAACAACTACCACCTGGTTCGGAGCCGCCATCAGAATTGTTCTCATGGGGGAGCCCATTGTTGCAGCCACGGAGTCAATCCGTCTTGTCCAGGGCAGCCTCTTTTCCACTGGCCCTCAACTTTACCAAGTCTGAGGTCCTCCGGGGACTGGTCTCCGGAAAAATACATCCAAAGTAAATGAGGCAACATCTCTCCATCCTTACCTCTTGAGGGACTTGTTCTAAGGCAAAGTTGGTTTTTTGGCAGTCCTTGGTACTTTCAGTATACCTCACCAACCCCTTAATTCAAGCGAATCAATTCTTCTGTCTTCCTTATTCAGTGTCCAACTTCCACATGCATACGAGGGGACTGAAAATACCATGGCTTGGGTCACTAGCACCTTATTGTAGTCCTCTTAACATCCTTGCTTTTCAGCACTTTTAGGAGGTCTTGTGGAGCAGATACACCCAATGCAATGAGTCGTCGGGTGGGGGTTAAGGGCAGTAAAAGCTCACAGTTGCTATGCCTACCCAAGACCCCAGCTCTAATGTCTCTTGCCCAGAGGAATTCTGTGCTAATGAAGTCAGTTGGCTGTTTGCCTAGTGCCATCTGGAGACCTGGAAGTGTCACAGAGGTTTGTCAGGATGTTTAGATGTTGACTTTGCGCACTTGACTACTGACAGGTGGTGGCCTTCACTGGGGTGAATGCGGAGAACCACCGATGGCGTTGGATTTGACTCCTTGCACCATGCAACCCCTTTCTACACCTATTTGCTGGCCACTTGGCCTTCCCTGCTGCCATTTGGTGGGACACATTTTCCCCCCAATTCCTTCTCACCCGCTAGGCCTTCTTGCCCCATCTGGCTTTCTTGTACGTGCCCGTTTGATGAGCAGACTGAAGCAGGGGCCAACCCCTTGCATTTCTTTTTTGGAGCTGGGACAATACCTGGTGGCATCCTTCCAGTGGTTAACTTTCCAACCTTTGTGGGTTTTAATGCTGTGTTATCCTAGTCAATAGGTGAGAAGTTGACGATTGTAACCTGAAAACTCAGACTGGGGCCCTGCTCCGGGGTCCCCATCTACTGTTTTAGTTGTGAAGCTGTGTAGAAACTCCTTTTTAAAAATCATTTTGTTGGGGGCTCGTACATCTCTTAGCACAATCCAT